TAGATGGTGTTGGCGTACACGTGCAGCATAATTTAATCTAACACGTTTTAGGGTAACATTTTACCAATATGACAACACCTGCGGTAAAGATATGTTGGAATTTCATACATAGCATGCAATATGCAGAGGCAGAGGTTTTTAAAACTTCCTAGTAAAACTACCAAATATTATTGATATAAGAATAAACCTTGCCGCCGCTTCCGTTCGCTGAAACTGTTCATCATACAAAAGCTGCATACAAATATTGTATGAAATTTTCTCTACTTTAATTTATCATGTAGCAATTTTCTTACTAAAATGAGGCAGAAAGGATGTATTATTAAAAATCTGTATTTGGGCACCATTTTTCCTACATTGCGGATCGAGCTGAAAGTTACGAGGTGGCAAAAAGAAAATTAAACAAGAGCATATAGATATCTAAAAGAATATCAGCTTTTTCAAGCTTTCCCAAAAGTTTCCAAGCACAAACGAATATTGTCCAAGAAATCAAAGCACAGTGATTGAGATGGGCTGACTCAACAATGATTGGTAATGCTGATCTAATGGGAAGCACCAAGTGGTAAAACACTTCTAGGTCGTCCCGTATGAGATACAGATGCGTCAGTGACTATCGGTTCCTTTCTTTTTTATGTCACCACCTATCTGGCAACTGTCCTACCAATTACTGTGGTCGCCTAATTCCTTTCTTCCAAAGGACGCAAATAAAAAGTGTATGGTTGTGCGCTCAAAGAAACATATATTCTGATATTGATTATATGTGATAATTCGATACTGAAAAAACTTACCTTCCATGACTTTTCGAGAAAAACAACTCCAAAATACAACACCATATCGTCAGTCGTTCTATAATTGTAGGAGGCCTTTAAGGCCTACTTGATTTTCATATTTTTGTACTGTTTCGTGTTCGCGTTCCATTTTGAGGTAATGTTACAAAATCTATTTGCATCAAATTGTTCATGCTTTTAATTTATCATCTGTTATATCAGCCTGAGACTTCCTACAATTCAAAAAGAAAACATAGTCTCACAATAGGAGACACGAAACAGTAGAAATCTATAAATACTCCAGCCTTTCTGAAGGAGAAAAAGGACTATGAAAATCCATTAGGCCACCAAGGCGTCCTGCAATTGTAGGAACGACTGACGATACGGCCCTTACATGTGTTTTTATTACGTCTCCTACTTTTTCAAAATTATTGAATGTGTCACAATAACAGTGACGGAACTCGTACCAAACGCAACGTAACCGTGTAAGCGTCAGCGCTCTCCTATTGTAAAAATGTTTTCTTATTGAATTGTAGGAAATTTCATTCTGATAAAACAGATGATTTAAATCAAAGACATGAATAATTAGATGCAAATAGATATTTGTAACATAACCTCAAAACAGAGCGCTGATACGGAAAAGTAGAAGGCTATGAAAATCAAGGAGGTCATAAAGGCGCCCTACAATTATAGGAACGACTGACGATACGACCCAGCATTGTTGGAAACTCTACTAATTGTTAAGTCAGCCCAAACTCACCCGGGGGTGTAGTGCTGATTATAAGTAACCAGTTGTTCTGCTGTGTAGTAATGAATATGCTGTGATATTGTATCTGCCTAGGGAGAGAATTGATTTATTATTAAGAAATCGTCTCTGGAGGCTCATCGAGCAGTCAGATGGGGTGCGGATTGATGGGGGTGGGGGTTTACCCCTCCATACCACCCTTCCCTCAACGGTAATTCGGCGTAATTGGATACAATCCGAGCAACAAACATACCGGGACAACACGATAAAAACTGAATACGGACAGTTTCGAAAACAAACAGACACTTTACACCTAAGCCATCAAGAAAGTAACCCCTAATTATATACAGTCGTAAAGCAGCCGGAAGCAAAGACGAGTTTTGCAACGATTAGGGATCATAAAAACTTAGCTTATGCTTTGCTCATGATAGTGCTTTTTCCAGTATCTTCATATGACAGATACCCAGTAAGAACTTGGTCTGGAATATTGTTCGCATGTGTTGGTAGTGACTATGCTCTCCATACTAGTGCGATTCATGGTTCAGAGGAGGATATTTCGTCAATAGGAACTTTCAAGCTTCTCTCACATCGACGTGAGCTCGATAATCTTCTACAGGTCAGGTGCCAGTCGAAATTTCCAAAAGTTCTTTAACACTGCTCATTTCGATATACCTCAAAATGAACTTGAAATTTCCATTGCCTTTCAGTGATTTTTCTAACAAATTCTTTTATTTTTCCAGGTAATGCATAACGAAAAATGATACTGGCCAAGTCTGGTAAGATTGTTTAATATCGAATAAGAATTTGCAAAGCATTTTCGGTTCGCGGATGTTTTAAACAATTGTTTTCTGACTGATGATCAAAATTCGTAAGCTTTTTTAGTATTTGATAAGGGTTTGCAGAACACTTTCGGTTCCCGTATGTTTTGGGGAATTATTTTCCGACATATAATATTATAGAACTTGTGAAAATAGTCAACAAGCATGGACTCATAATAATTCGTAAATTAAAACGATAGAAACATGTTTTCGACAAGCGTCCCTGCGTCAAGGGACTGACGGGCGCCACCAGCGTGCCGGTATTCGTATATGTCCTACATCACTGGCGCTCTATGGGCACTCTACTGCCAGTGACACATCATGCTTTCAAGATATTGGGGAGAGGCGAGGCGAGGCGACCTTCCCAGATGAACGGTACAACGGATAGGGCAGGGAAAAATGTTATGAACTACAGTTCTGCGGACCTATCTGACGGGCTTGATTCGTTTAATTTCTCTGCTTGAAGGATCCATCTTAATCATGCTGCTTTCGTCTGTCTATCCAAAGATATCCAACCACAGACAGCAGTTTCGTCGTTATTTGGCAACTCATCAGTATGGTTTAGGCTTGGTCTCTCGGACAACGAACGAAAGGTTAGCAACTAACCTCTATCCGGGTATATAACGTCTATGCAACCTACTTTATGCCATTTTTTTTCATTAATGAGAGAAACAGATCCTCATCTGTAGAGACGTTGAGAGAAACCTACGATCCACCCTAAGGCTTATAGTAATCGACCATATTTTCTCGTAAACTTTTTTTTATTTCAGTATTCGATATTCTTCCCATATCTTACTACCGCCCTTGGACGAAGAACTCGAACAATTCAATTTGTTCTCTGACAACGAATCCACCCCAGGTTCAGTTCATATCTCGGTTGAGTCAACAAGTTGCTTCGAACACATCACGTATATTAAAATTTATTGATTTCTCCTATTTTAAAATGTAAAGACTGAGACCATTGTTGCGGGGCAAGCAAATAAAAGATTAAAAGTACACAAAGTAACAACAGCGAGTACGCTACAAGTATTTTATCTAGATAGAGATCTGAAGATGTTATTTTAAGTACACAGAGTAGTGATTTATCTCAGGATGCTTTTGTTTTAGTCGAATGAGAAATGGAAGAGTGAGCATTACTACACTTTAAGAGTTATTGGAACAAGTAATTTAATGAAAGGAAAGCTAGGAATGTGTAGCAAATGCAAAAAATACTGATAACAAAAGCACGTTGAAATACGTCATCGAATAATTCTTATGCCGGAACCGCACGCTTGCCATTTGCCGCAAACTCTAAAGCCCTACAAACGCTTGCCCTTTTTTTTTGAAGAAGCAAACGTCGCCGTCCACACGTTTGCGGGTGCGTCAGTGAAAAAGCAACAGGCAAACATGAGGGACGTCGAACTTGTATCTGCCGTAGCATTTGGCTTAAGCTATTTTTATTATAAAACCAAAAAATCAGATAAAATGAAAAGTATGACCAAGAAGGTGGTGGATGTTAAATATTCATATGAACCGTACCAGGTAAATGGTATTTTTTTAATAAAATTTATATTTATTTCCATAAATAGTATCACATCCAAAATTTAAGGGTCTGACATTATGAGTAGTATCATTTGTGCTTTTAATTTAATAGGCATTAACTAAATAGTGCTATTTGTCTAATATATTTTATTGCAGGGAATACAGGGAACAAAAGTTTAGTGAACTTCTTTATGAACCATCTGGACAGTTTAATAATTTCTGTCGAATAAGTTACACAGATTTTGAATTTTTGCTGAGTGCCATTTGGCCTATGATTTCAAAGAAAAATACAGACTTTAGAGAGGCTATACCTGCAAAATATCGTCTGGCAATTACATTAAGATATTTAGCTACTGGCGACAGTTTTCAAAGCCTACACTATTTCTTTATAGTATCTGAACAGATTATATCAGAAATTATACTTGAAGTCTGCAAAGCTATTAATGAGGTTCTAAAGGATGAAATAAAGGTAAAGTAAAAGATGTTTGTTATGTATAAAAATGTTTTATTTAAATAGTTATGGCATATATTATTTATTCACTTGTACTGCTCAAAATCTTCAACTGCTCTCACAAATGCTGTATTAATTATATTGTATTGTTTGGGTTTGATGCGTTACTTTCATCAACATAAATAGTTATGTTGTCATCGATTGTTTCAGTTACTGGCAATGATATTGGGAATCTCTCCCCTCGGTTTATGAGTACATATCCATTTTATTGCTGATGATGGTCTGGAATCAGCAAAACCCTGAGGAGATGGTGGTTCCCGTCTTCGTTTTATTCTCTGGATGAATAGTCCATCGATTTCGACATGTAGTTTCTGCTCATCTTTCGGAAGTTCTCTCATCCTGTGGGCTATAAACCTGGCATACAAATAACATTCATTTTCATCATATTATGCTTGCCGTTGGTTGAATACGTTTGATGCTGATGATGGTCTGGAATCAGCAAAACCCTGAGGAGGTGGTGGTTCCCGTCTTCGTTTTCTTCTCTCGATGAATAGTCCATCGATTTCGTACATGTAGTTTCTGCTCATCTTTCGGAAGTTCTCTCATCCTGTGGGCTATAAACCTGGCATACAAATCACATTCATTTTCGTCATATTATGCTTGCCGTTGGTGGAGTACGTTGGTTAGATTGCTAAATGCTGTTAAGCGGTGTCTGATGCAGATTGACGACGAGAATTCTGCGCTTTTTTATTCAAAGCAGGTATTGCAGCTGCAGAAGTCGAGGGAACTGTCAAGTTAATATGATTTTCCGTGTCTTCTGCTTCATAACCCGTTTCCGATGATCTTGATTGCTGCAAAAATTCGTTTTATTAAAAATTCAGTGATAAGAACAAGTCTCAATTTTTATATAGTTTTTTCACATGTAAAGTTTTTCAATAAATCGTGTTTATTATTGTAACATTATATTCAATAATCGTTTCAGATACCCTCATCAGCTTAAGAGTGGATTAATATAGAAAGAGGATACAGAAGCAAATTTCCACTTTATACAGGGTGACTTTGAAGTTGAGTCATTAATTTTCAGATAATGATTGTAGAAGGAAGATAAACCAAAATATGTGTGTAAAAATAAAAAAAAAATAAAAAAAAAATGTTACCTTGTTTAATAAAGTATCCTCCCGACAAGTACTTCAGTGCGGACCTGTATTTGATCGTGCGGTCTTGGAGCAGCATGCCCTCACCTGTGAGGTCTTAAGTCACCTGATTCACGAGCCCTTTGTACTACATTAACAAAGGCACGAGGGGTTGGTTGCACTCGATTGGGAAACCGATTCGCGTAAATCCGTGATGCATCCGGGAGCATTTTGTAAAGACTGCCCCCCCGTAAATAAGAATCATGTCCACAAGTTCAGCATTTTCGTAAACATGTGCCATTTTTGATTTCGTTTGAACCACGCAACACACTACTATTCACTTACGCGTTATCGACTGACGAAAAACATCGTGTTATAAACGTTTCAAATTCTTTCGCTTTTTTGTTTCCGATGCGATGAACCGGTCAGGCGGATTATATCCGTTGTCGCCAAACACGAGCATATAATAAGGCAGGGCGGTACTCAAACTTCCAAAGGGCTATAACTTTGTTACTTTAATTTTACCAGAAAAATGGTAAAGGAAAAAAACATTTCTTTTGATCAGATCTACTCACTGTTAAAATAAATGACTCAACTTCGAAGTCACCCTGTATAGGTTCAATGGATGGCAAACATATTGTTATTCAATATCAATATCATAGTGGAAGAAACTACAAGAAAATATTCAGTATGGTTCTGTTAGCATTAGTTGATAGCAATTATATATCTATATTTGTTGACATAGGATGTCGAGGGAGAATTCACTATTATGGCAAAAAATCTCCAGGAATGAAATGAACTTTCCCACTCCATGCCCACTTCCCAGAATGAATAATAACATGAATATGCCTTATGTGTTTATAGCAGATGGTGCTTTTGCTGTAAACATGCATGTTATAAAGCCCTATCCTGGAAATCAGGAGATAGGATCGCCAAAAAGAATATTTAATCAAGGTTTGAGTTCAGCCCAGGTTATACTGGAGAATACATTTGGCTTTTTATCTTCAGTATTCAGAATTTTTCGAAGACCTATCAATGTAAAACTTGAAACTGTAAAAGAAATTACTATGACCTGTGTGCTACTACATAACTTGCTCATAAGAAGTCCAACATCCTCAGAAATGTATACTTCCTCAGGGATGTTGGATGTATATGATAGTGATGGCTATCTTATTACACCTGGCACATGGCGGAATATAAATGATAATGCGACAAGATCCACCAAATGTACCTCGAAGATCACCACTGAATGCAGTAAGAGTTAGGGATGAATTCACTTCATATTTTTGTAGGGGTATGAATAATTGACAAAGCTGACCTGTCAATTAATTATTTGGATATGCAGTTATAACAATGTAAGTGTTCAAAAAATCCAAAAAAGTATTCTGTTTTCAAGTCTTTAATAATGGGATTTTCTATATTTTCAAATGTTTCACTTACCGTTTCAGAGCTTAAGCCTGATTTTTCTGTATATATTGGCAGAAGAAAAGATTCCATAAACTGGTAGGTAAACCAGTTTGCTTGATATCTTCAGTTGCTGAAAAAAAAATGTTTACTGCATCAGATACATATTAGTAGGTACTGAAACAGAAATTATGGGTAATTTTAAAGGAAAAACAAGCAAAACCCATCATAAAACAATTAAGTAAGAACAAAAAGGTAACCCAAAACTTCCGTCACACAAATACAAATAAATTGGCCAAGCCTAATATGAGAATTTAAGTTGAGCTTGGTTAATTTGTTTGTGTTTTCCTATGTGTTTGAGGTTCTTTTGTTATTCCTTAACTGTTTCATGATGGGTTTTGCTTGTTTTTTTCTTAAAACACTGGAATAATTCAAGTCAAATCAATTTTGAGGGAATGGATACCTCTGATCAGATGTGGACATCACCCCCAGACAAGTAGTAACAATGCACTCCTTTAGTAGGTAGTATAATCAAAGTAGACCTACCTGCACCAGAACGAATACAGCCTTGTTTTAGTTTTTTAAGTGTTTTCTAAAAGTCACCATAAAAATCTCCTTTTTATTTTTCAATTATTTTACTGATTTACTAAATGATGCGCTAAGGTGCCTCCATGCGTCAGCTTTTTTTTGTTAATTTTGTGATCCGGATGGCCTGTGTCCCAAATGCACGTTTCTCCTTGGTACCGCTCCAGGAAGTTCAAAATCTCTTGGTTCAACCAGTCACTCATTTTGTTGTTATCCAACTGGACCCAGATTATTGTTGCAGAGCGTACACCCATTCGGCACCAGTGCATAAGCGAGACTGAGGCGCACAAACGTATGGATGTGTTACAAACGCTTGTGGCAAACTCCTTTTGATTTACGACCAAAAAACCGACACCCGATCGGATCGGCTACAAATGCTTGAAACCCTACGCAAACCAAGCCAAACGCTATATCTGCACGTTTGCGTTTGTGCCGTTTGTGCCGATTTGCGGCGATTTGGCAAGCGTGCGGTTCCGGTATTATAAATGCACCGGGTTGTCACCTCCAGATATTTGACATGCTAGTGTCTAGTTATTAGAATAAGTTTCCATTACTGAGTATTATTTCTCATCATGATACTGCGCGTAGCAGGACCAAACACTTTTCAAAGTAGACTTCATTCATTGGGATCCATTTATTATTATTTTTTGTGCTGGATTACAGTACATACATATTTTTTACCAGGAGAAATCTTTTATAGCCTCTCCCAGGTAGACAGTATTGCCCTATCGGCCTTTTCTGCTTCCAGAAGCGGCATACATACTTGCTAAAACCCCTCTGTCGTTCGCTACACATCCCACCGCGGCAATGCTAGCAGCATTTCGTCATGGTAGGTAGCATTGCGTTCAGTTTTCTTACTAGAGGTATTTAGACATATTATTCTCATCGTCGTACATATAGGTTTTTATACATAAGCGAGTGTTTCATTTCATAGGGCAAGAAAATGAAGCGTAAAATGTTGACAGACCCTGCTCGCCCACAGAATCTAAGTAATTTGAGACATACATATGTATACCAAAACTCGAGAAGAGGTTGGGCATTTCGATCGCTTTTATAAAAATAGGAAGAAATACAATATTCTCAATATTTATGATATTTAATGAGAAACGAGGAATCACAAACTTAAAATAATGAATAACTCTAAATAGTAGGTCCAATTGGCATTACATTTATGTAAAAAAATTATATTAATCCATTTTATATGATGAAATTCCTTATTTTGTTCGCTTGGGTACAGCTTTTCTATGATTTTCAACTACTCTCAAGAGCAATTGTTTCTGTTGCTCGTCTCTGACTGATTCATTAAACTTTTTGATTGAAGCTATTCCTCTTTCTCCAGTATCATTCACCACCTTCACTTCTTACGGAGTCGTTGCAGTATCCCTTCACGTTATGAGATTCAAACAATTCGAAGAACGTCTTTGTTTTTGGTAACGAGATGGCTCACATCTTTTCCTTCAAAAAATAGGTTTTTGCGCTCTAATCATTTCAGATCCTTTTTCTTGGCTGGTTGGGTTTCCAAATTTTCAATCATAATTTTTCTAACTCCTCGGTAATACATGCATCAAAAAAGCCAATCCAATATTTTTCTCTGACAGATACCAAAGGTGTCTTCTGGCAACTGCGACATCACTTTTTTGACGTCTTCATCTGGGTAAGTGTTCAGTAGCTGTACTTTGAGACATATTCAATTGCTCAGCGTAGAGGACTATTTTAAGTGCATAGATTGCTTTTGCCATCCATCTTGCGTGATGCAAAGCACCTGGGATCATGGAAGGGAAATCCTTTTGAGTCCAACCTCCTAAGTCTTACAGGCCTCTCCAACTCGAGCACTTGGTGCTGTTGCGCTCTGGTGCTGAACCCAGCGGCACCGGTGCCGTTCCCCTCCACCTCGACCGCACAGCCATCGCAACAGAGAGAAACATAATTAGCCGACTGTCTCTCGGGCGTGGGCCATTTCTTAATAGGACAAGACAATGTGGACAGGTCCTTTAGCGTCTTAACGTGCGTCTTTTTTTAAACGATCTCATTCAACCCTGCATGGAAGAAGCCCATTTTTTGTAAATACTGATGGAAAAGCAAAATGTTTAATTTGTCACACGGTATTGAGGCCAGCCCTTCTAAGTTCTGAAGAGGTAATTAATTTGGTCGTAGTTGATTATTATTAATGGTGTCGTAATGCAAGTTATAATGTTGCTTTGAAAATCGCAAACAGTGGGAGACCGTTTACTGACGGTGCACTTGTCAAAGAATGCTTAGTGGAGTGTGCAGAAATATTGTGTCCATTTCCTTTGAGACAATTAGTAGATAAACTCGTCGGATACTTCAACTTGGTGCAGATTTAAAATAACAACTGCGGGAAAATGTGCCCATTTTGTGCAGTATTCTATAGATCTCGATGAAAGTAAAGACATTTCTGACACAGCATAATTAGCTGTTTTCGTTAGAGGTGTCGAAATAGTCTTTACTATCACCGACGAACTACTAGACGTTATCCCGCTCAAAGATACAATAGCCGGAGAAGATATTTTTGATGCTGTAGAATACACAATAAATGACATGGGTATACTACTCAAAAGTTTGCTTAGTGTTGTTACTGATCTTGCGTCAGCAATGTTATCGGAAGCACAAGGTTTTACTGGGCGAATGAAAATAAAAGTACGCGACGCTGGGCTACCTCCGATATGATCGGTACACTGCATATTACATCAGGAACAACTGTGTGCAAAAACCTTCCGTAATTCTATTCTATTCTAATCTATTATGGATGTAGTAATAACATGTGTCAATTTCTGCAGAAAGCTAGATCTCAACCACGGCAGTTTGAAGTATTTTTCAAAGACCTGGAAGCAAGTTACGGTGACACACCCTTTTATTGTGTTACGCACTGGTTAAGCTGCGAAAAAGTGCTAAAGATTTTTTTTTTTGAAATCATTGACGACGTTGAGATGGTTATGCAAATGAGAGTTTTACGACGCCATCTTCAGTGCTTTTCGAAACAGAACCGCCGCAGTTCCAAATGGAGCTGATTAAGCTTCAATGCGATACGATCCTTAAGGATAGATACTACCACTACAGTAGTAATTTAATTTCGTTTTATCAAGGTGTTAAGCAGCAAGTTTTCCCAAAATTCTTGCACTGGCCTTGGAAACTTGCTCCATGTTCGGTAGAACGTACTTCTGCGAGCAGATGTTTTCTTTAATGAATTTGACCAAAACTTAAGACAGGTCTTTGTCTGATGTGTCCTTAGAGGCGATACTCAGAATTTCCACTGCTCAAGCCACTGTACCAAATATTAGAAAACTTGTGGAATCGAAACGCTGTCAAAGATCATCTTAAGAATAAATGTGTTTACGTCGAAATTATGAAAACACTATTTTATCACCCGCGCGTTGACTCGATCAGACCAATTCAAATATCAATACGAATGTCACTCCACTCATTTTCCGTTGGGGCTGGGAGCCGGCAAAATTAAACCTTATCGCGGATTCGACTAAACTTAGTAATAATATGTAGTTTTTAAGTAAATGAACAAAAAGGGCTTGGTATGCCGATGAAAGTACCTGTCATATCGACTTGAAGATACAACGTGACGGTAGGATTTTACCATAACCTATACGTATATCCATGATATTTCATATTCATTTTACATATACTTTCAAACATCTAGTAGCCTGGTGTCAAACTGACAGACTCGAATGAGCTTTTAAATGCATGAATGAAGCATACAAACATGATGTATTTATTATTTTTATCTATTTGCATTGCCTGCTACAGCTTTCAGTCGGTACGACAGAAACATCTGGCGGAAATCAATTTGTCATACCATGTTTTTCCAAATGAGCCTAAAATTTCCATCAAACCTTGTACGCTTCATTCTATTCGGCGATGACGGTGAAATTCTCTTGTCACGCTGTATCTTTAAGTCGGTATGACAGGTACTTCTGGCAGTACTGAGCTCTTCTTGTTCATTTACTTACAAACTACATATACTAAATTTAGTCGAATCCTCAATGAAGGTATACTCAATGCCACCAGCTCCCGGGTCATTTCTGTTCGCAGGGTGCTACGGTTAGCACAACACCTTCCTCGCGATGCGTATGCCGCGGCCTAATCCCTGTTCCCTCACCCACCTTCACGCAGTCACCCCGCAGCACTGTGCTGCGAGCGGTGCTCGGCGCTGCACTGGTAGCACCTGAGTTGAAGAAGCCTGTACCTAAGTAAAGGAGTGACAGTTGCAAAAACTCCTTTTAGTCCTCCCTTTGATGACTTCCATCTTTCAGGACATTTTGAATGTAGTTTACAATGATCGCGCGTCGTTTCTCTAGAAATCCTTGAACATGAATGTGCTGACCTAACATTGCTGTATATGACTTCTTGTCGTGGTCACGATGTCGGGAAGCTCGAGTCGGCTGGCTATCCGTCTTCGACTTCAACTTATCGACTGCCGGCCCGAAATGCGGGTGCCTCGCTGGTCGTCCTTCGAGAAAATTCTGGAATTGCGCCGTTGCTGGTGCAATACAACGTGCATCGTCTATTTTTCAAGGATTATG